TGACAGTCACCAAGTTGGTGACAATCACGGTGATCGTCTTGTATACCCCCCCCTTCGCGCTAATGTAGGTATCTTACCTCTACGTACAACAGCGCTAGGAAATGAAGCCTGCCTGGGATAGACTGCACAGCTAAAAAAAATGTTACTCCCATGGAGAAATCAGGTAGGTTAGTTGTTCCCGAAACTTGTAAAAGACAAGACGAGGGAAAACACATGACGGCAATATGTAGGGTTCTACTTAGATAGTCTACAGTAGGTGCTGTTACAGAAAGTCCCATTACCTGTACCCTTAGGTAAGGTACCTACAGTATATACATAGGTTGGAACCGCGCATGAGAAGTAGCTAGTAGTTTCAGAAAATTAGGATGCCTGCATCAGGTTATGGTACGGCACTTCATTTCTATAGTTACTATTAGGGGGTACTTAAACATTGGAGGTATGTAGGTAGATAGGTTCCAAAGCATAACCCACGTTCCCACGTTTTTACCAGGAGACTCAGGCGTTAAGATAGCAACAATTCAATGCGTACAGCATAAATAGGGCCCCACGCAGCGCCCCCCACGTTTCTCCAGTTTCCGGCTTCCAGGTCGCAGTCAGCATTTTTAGGTCGCAGTACGTCATTGCATACCTACTTGCCTACCCGACCTTGCAATTGATTGCGCACAAACTTCTAGTCGGGCGCAGGCTAGACCAGCCTTCTACACTGATATTGGTTACCAGGTATAAAATCCGAGATAGGTACCTGTGAGGGTTACGTCGCGGCGTACCTAGGGGCCATGCCATGGCTGACATAATATTAGTTAGGTACTTACATAGCATTAGGAACTTGGCTCCGCAGCGCCCGATCGCCCGCCGCCGGCTCAGCTGCCAGTGTTGTCATGCTGCGCCAGCAACTGCACACTAGCGTGCCTACATAGTCGGTCAGTCGGCCTAGTGTGGAATCATCATCTCGGGTGGGCTCGATTGCTTGCATGTGGATCTGACACACCCTTGACACCCGACATCCTCACTGATCAGCCTCCTCCTCTTATTATTAGCTACATGCCTGCTCCTTCTTACTTACCTACAGCAGCCAGTCATCGATGCATTGCCATTGCGCTTCTCCCCGGCCTCCCAATGCTGACCCTCCAACAGCATAGGGTCAACCCCGAGTCGACTACACGCCTGCGAGCCGCCGTTTTGTGATTATGGCCGCAACAGTGGCCTCGAACCCGGGCCCAGTGCCAGGAGTAGCGCAGGACCCCAACTCGGACCCCATCACCGCCGCGACGCGCACTGTTGGCGGGGCTTCGCAACAAGACGCTCACGGTAGCGAGGATGCGGGGCCCAAGGTACCACCGCAGCACCAGCGAGTGAAATTGAGCGACTTTGCTCTTGTCCGGACCCTCGGTACCGGTATGTCCCTTATTCCAGGCGCATCCTTCGCGCATTGCTTTTCTTCTGCTACTATGACCTGTAGACTACACCCGCCTTGCGCGCGCTGGTGCTAGTGAGACGAGAACCCACGGTCACTGACACGGCGTTCGTGGCGTCCATTAGGAACCTTTGCTCGAGTCTGCCTTGTCCGTCCAGCTGTCGGGAGCGATGAAAACAAAGAGCAAGTTTTTGCGCTCAAGATCCTGCGAAAGACCGAGGTTATCAAGCTTAAGCAAATCGACCACGTCAGAGATGAGCGCCGAATTCTCAGCGATGTTGCCGGCCACCCATTCATCACGAGGCTAATCACTACCTTTTCCGACTACGATTCCCTCTATATGCTCCTCGACTATATACCCGGTGGTGAACTATTCAGTTATTTAAGGAGACACCGACGGTTTCCGGAAGAGTGGGCACAATTCTACGCGGCTGAAATTGTCTTGGTGCTCGAGTTTTTACACGAACACCAAGGTGGCGTGGCATACAGAGACCTCAAGCCCGAAAATCTACTGCTAGATGGGCAAGGTCATGTCAAGCTGGTGGATTTTGGTTTCGCTAAGAGGTTAGGAAGTAAAGGCGATAGGCCAGTCGAAACTTACACTCTCTGCGGAACTCCTGAATATCTCGCGCCTGAGGTGATCCAAAACAAAGGCCATACCACAGCGGTTGACTGGTGGGCCTTGGGGATTCTAATAGTGCGTAATTTCCGGTGTCATTTTATTGCTAATTTGGCAACGTTAAGAGTCCAATGGTCCCTTCTTCATATGGAAATGCCTTCCACACTTATGAAATGGTTGCAGCTCGCTCCTAAAGTGGTGTTAGCTAACTCCGAGTGTTGTAGTACGAGTTTCTTACCGGATACCCCCCATTCTGGCACCAGAACCCGATCGAAATTTATAAACAGTAGGTACCCTTCATCGCTTCGTCCACTGGCTCCCTTATCAACGTTGTCTAGGATCATTGAGAAGCCGGTCCTTTTTCCTCAAGAGCCTCCCATCTCTCCAAATGCGCAGCATATCATCCGGTCGTTCTGCACGGTGGATCGCTCAAGACGGCTAGGAAACATTAGTGGTGGTTCTCAGCAGGTGAAATCTCATCCGTTCTTCCACGACATCGATTGGCAAGCTCTCTATCGCCGCCAGATTCGCCCACCCATTCAGCCTAACGTACGGCATCCTGCTGACGCGCAATGCTTCGATGTATATCCGGAGGACGACGGAAAGAGAGACCCATATACCGAGTCAATGGTTAGTCAGTTCGACCATTTGTTTGAAAACTTTTGAAAATTCTATGACAGGACGGTTTTACGCCTGCTTCAACCGCAAAAGTTCGTGATACACGAGGGACGTTCACAGCGCCTTGCGACATACCACATTGAGCCGAAGGGCGGGCTCTTTTATGATAACGTTCTCATTTCAACACCGTACACAGTGACCGGGGGTCATTGGGTTGGAGATATGGTAAGCGTGATACCCTCTTCTAAGCCTCTCGCATTGTAATCTAAGAGTGAATAGTATAAGTCCATTCCTACTTGAGCTTAGCACTGTATTATAGGTATCCAGCCGGTTTAGCGATTTTGGTTATAACGGCCGCCCATAATGGGCATTGCCATTCTATTTATGCATAGAAGAGGTGATATCGAATCCGGGTCGGATCTGATATGTGAAGATGTGACCTATGCAGTAGTTGGGCAAATATTGTTAGATACAATTGTGATGATTTTCATTAATGGCGATTTCATATAACAGAAGTGCTGGACCTAGACCCGGATTATACCCAGCAAACCAGAACCTCAAATGACGTTAGTATCAGAGCTTCATAATACGGAGTTGGAATATGAGCCAGTCTCCCGTTTTTAAATTTCTACGTTAAGGATGTAGAGCTCAAGTTGTAGAGATCAAGAGGAATTTTAGGGGTTATAAGAAAGCACGCCAGTTAGTACATGTTACAACCACTGGAGCCCCAGAGTCCCGCCGCTCTTCCTCTGTTGAGCGCGTGGTAGATGATATCTTAATTATTTGTGATTAACCCGCGCAAGGCTTCGAGGTGAGCTAACGATACCTATTCAGCGTAAGCCCGAAGATGTTGACCATATAGGGCGGGTTTCCAAGCAATGCTACAGTTGATTGGTATAATACCATGATATTTCTATCCCATTGGGCCTCGTAATGTACTTGAAAAAGCCAAGAGCCAATAACGACGGCCCTTTTAGCATTTAGATGGAAATCATCAACGAAAACCACATGCCCCCCAAGCAACCTCTTGGACACTGCAGACGCCTCTAAGCGGCGGCGTCTGCTATGCACTAGCGCCGTGTACACAGAGGCATGACCGTCGCGGATCGGCCTACGGCATCAACACGCGAGTAGTATCACCACGGACGACCACGCATGTATCCCTTTCATTTGACCAACACGAGACCGAAGCCAAAACAGAGGGCACCAGGCTCCGAAGCAGTATTCAGATCCGTTCACCGAGCTGATGTCCACGGGGCTTGTGGTTTAGGGGTGTAAGACTCCCTTAGCATGGGAGTGGTCCGGGGTTCGATTTCCCGCGAGTCCAATGTCGGGGGTTCAATTCCTCCTATATCAACTATCCCCCCCCCTGAGATTGGAATACCTTTTTGCTTGGTAGTCTCCAGAGCATAGCTCTAGCCTTAAGAGTGTATCTGGGTTGTTTTGGACTAAAGTGATAAGTTGAGAGGCTTGGCCTATTCGAGAGTAGTCCTCCAACACTGACCAGGTAAATAACTTCGTCCCGACGTTTACAGTACTGCCACCTTTGTCGTGATTCGTGATTTGTTTTCCATTGTTTAAGAACAGTACTTCATATAAGCCAAGAACAACTCTGTGCCTCCTAAGGCTCAAGGTGTAGGAATTGATGGCGAAAGCCCACCGTTCGGTGGCCTCTCAAGAACACGGGGAAATGCCAAAGCAAACAAGGAAATCCATGCCGCAATCAGCAGTGAAGGCTGGAATTCTAACTAGATGCAACCTTAAAGACCGACCTCCTTAGACAGGAGCTTAAAACAACACGCGAGACTGCTCAACTTTCCTTTGAGGATTTCCCTAGTGGCAACTACATCCTCCACAATCACCCACCAGTACTGTCGAATCAGCGGCTTCTCAAGAAGGTTCTCCTATCTGCACACCTGAATATATTGAGTATGTTGCACTCTTCAAACTTCAGGTAATTACCTAAGAATGAATCCTAGAACCTAAACCTCAATCTACCCGCGAAGCTGTAAAATATAGGACAAATCTAGCTCTGCGTCTACGCACTTATACATCACGAAGCCGCTAGCTATCATGATAACAACAGTTTAACACACAGCCGACATCATAGTTGCTTATGTAATCACAGTAACTATATGTTTAAGTATGGTCTAGTGTGGTATTTAGAAGTTATTAACTGGAAGATATAGGTAGAGCTTTTGTTGTAGGGCAATGTGGATATTTATTTGATATTGTAAAGGAACTAGAGTAATTGACGTGAAGTCACCCGTGCGGGGTCCTTGTATGCACTGTCCCATCGTACCTTTCTACGCTTTATAGCCACCAAGTCTAAAGCGGTGGTCATGAAGAGGTCTGGTGGTCTAGTGGTATGATTCTCGCTTAGGGTACACCCTATGGCTTAATATGCGAGAGGTCCCGGGTTCAATCCCCGGCCAGACCCTTTTTCTAGTCCAAGACCTACTAGGAGTGTAATCTGCTTAGTTGTCAGTCATTTTTGCCCTGGCCTTGCTTATGATACGGACGAACAACCACCGGCTCAAGTCTGGTTGTTAGATTGCTAAGTAGCCCGACGCGGTCTTACTTATTTGGCAGGTTATACATCTAGTCTATACGTTTTGTTTAATCGCTCGTATACATTCGCTGTGATTAAATCGAGTCGTGGTTAGGCATGCTGATGTAGTAATTTGTTGTAAAAGATAGCCTTGCCCATTCGGCAATGGCTGCCGGCTGGTTGGAGCGCGCCATGAATCCCCTTTTGTGCTAGCTTGGTAGTTAGTGTACTTGAAACGAGTAGGGGGACGAAACATGCCCATCCACCGGTAATGTACCTAAGGTACCCGCTGGCTGATACAGTAATCCCGCCTACAGTACTCTGCACTGTACTTGCAAGCTTGTTCGGCTTAGCTAATTAGCAGCCAATCATGTTGTCTGCCATTCTAAATGATTAAGACCCGTGGACCACGGTTCCTTTTTTAGGTATACTAACTAAATTCTGGTAGACATTTCCGCTAACCGTTATTTTTTAACGAGTGATTGTCTATTGGATAGATACCTGCTGAAGAGCAGCGAAGCAAGTTGGACGCGGTCATCTTCGGAAATCCTCCCTGGTAATGCGCCGCCTCATCCTTCCATGTGTCCAGGATGCCCGGCATACGCCAAACCCTTTCCAAGCCGTATCCAGGTTATGTGGCTGTACAGCAAGCACCTTTCCCCTTTTAGCTGACTCTAGACTAGGACTCAAGCACCGGCTGGGCTAAATTTGTGCACTCCCGGTAGCGTGACGTATGGTAAGTTCACAGTACTGTATGTGTTCTCCCGGCGACACTTCGTCTTACTCTTTCCTCTTCCAGGATTGTTTAATCAATGTAGTTGGCGCTGAACGCTTTCCACCGCACTTTCATATGCGTTGAATTTTGCCCCGCGGCTCGTAGCACTTTTGTCTCCATCGGTGAGCCTTCTAACATTCTCCGATGGCAGATAAAGACAGCTGGTGGTCGTATCATCGAGGAAGGTGGAATGCGACCAAGTTTACCTTCCGATGCATCAGTTTTGCTTTGAGTATCATCGTGATCGGCCTGTCTGTGAACAACGGTGTTCGCATCAGGAATTGGTCTGAATACCAAATTTATTTGCAAATAGACTGGTGGTTTACTCTCCCCGTTGTACGTCGCCATCTGCCTGAACACTTCTCTGCTTCACTACCCACGCTCACTTCGTCCATCTCTTAGACACTACTCAGCATCGTCGTCGACTGCGTCGAATTGACGTGCAGCATTCTCCGGAAGCGGAATCCCGGGATCCCGCCCGGTTGGCACATCGGCATAGAGCTTGTTGTGTTGGGTGGAAATATTGTCGCCCTCGTCTTCCTAGCAAGCGTAATCCCCCGCGACGATGAATATGCGTACGCTCCTTGGGCTCCCCTGTCTCTCCGACCGTTTCAGATAGCGTCGGTAGTCTTTCTAGGACTCTTCACGTGAGTGGTGTCAATCACCTGGTTACATCGCGATACTAATACGGCGGGATAGTGTCGTCCGGTTCATCCTTTTTGTGATTGCCTGTGTAGACACACACAGATATCACACAGCTGCTCAAGTTGAAATGATAGTACAAGCGCTACGCCGACAAAACCTAGACGATCCTACGACAGCCGCCATAATACACAATCTCACCTATCCTACGAACCAGACAGACTATCGACAGCCTGCCCCATTTCATGAATCCCCCCATATGACGCGACCCACGCAAGACCTCAGTGACGAGTCTATGCTTTATCGCGAATTACCCGACAACCAGAAATTTTTGGTCACTGAACTGCCTCCTAGAGTATATAAACCGACTTGATATTTTAATGAGCAGCTGCGTTGCGCTCTTTCCTGGTCCAGGACATCGAAGTTCGGGCCCGTCCAAGTAATTTGCTTCGAATTTTTACTGAAGTCGACCACGTATCTTTTCGGGCGCATACGAATAATTTCAATCCGAGCCGGCCTCGATGGGCGACATATAATTCATGATACGCTACGGCAAGAGAACCTCCGCCTCAGGTCTCACCATGGTCATTACAGAGTCGGTACTTGACGAGTTTCAAACAGTCGCGGGTTGCCCTCAGTATCGCTGACACCGGTGAATTTTGTTCCGGACCACGCTCGCTTTCACCTTGAACTGTGCACTGATGGGCGACCGGTGCAAGACGTTCTCACAGTCCCGCTCCTTCAAATACGATAACCGAGAATCTCAGAATAATATACGGGCTCGGGTTCCTTTCGCGCATGCGGAAGGCTACGAATGCAAGGATATCTACCGCACAAGCTGCTATTGCTATAGCTCCTACGGCCGCCAATGTTTTTTTGGTTGGCAGGTTCGGCTCGACACTAAGGCAAATCTATCAAGAGCCTATAATTAAGTGTGGATGAGGAATTAAAACGATGGTTTGATAGGGACATCGGTTTACGGAACCAACCCTTCAAATGGGTAATCGTCGAGGTACTGACTTGATGCGCCGTTTCTGAGTTAGCCGGAAATTTGAGGACGATCAGAGAGTCGAGTACTTCCCCTACTTATAGGGTTGGTTTGAATAACCATATTAATAACTACAAATGGCTTGGGCAACCATAGCCGGACATATTAATCTAATAATGTTGGTATACACACTGCCACAAGACCATCATTCTTTTGAGATATGGCCCCATTTCAGACAAAGTGGAAGAGTACAGAATAGGATTCAACTTCGCAACTTTCAGGTTCGCGTATAAAAGACAAGATTCGATACTATGTATTCATCGGACATGCTTTGCTAGAAAGGAGCGTATGTGGTCTTGGAAAATGGGGCGATGGATAGGCATCGTAGGGCAGCGCGAATTTTCCAATAGAAGGAATACATAAGGGCCTCCTGCCACCACCGGCGGACTAAGATCCTAAGACCAAACTAAATGCGTTCGCTTATCCTGAGTCCACAAAGGCACAGTTCAGAAATTGTTGGCAGGCATTTGCTCAACGACCAATTGTCACGCATGGCAAGAAGCAACCAAGCATCTCGTCACTTGCCGCGTATGAGCACCTGTTCATGCTTACTTTCTGATGAGCACCAGTTGTAGGATTGCAAGCTCGCCTAACATCAAGCGCACAAACCTTACAACTCCAGATTGAATGGTAGTAAGCAAGGGAGGGTGGCGTATCAACAGGCTTTATCGTCTTCTCTTCCCATGAGAATTGTAAATAAGGAGTCTTGTTCAAATTTTTCTACTGCTCCTTTCAAGCATGTTTCCGTTACTTTACCTAGTAATCCGCGATGGCTTACTGAAACCACACAGGGAAATTAGCAGGATGAAGGGACTACACGTCAACAGGGCAATATCAACTAGATCGTTTAGGCGCAAGCCCCAATAACCTTGATTGCCTCTGTCCCTAATAGAAATGATGTGTGCATTAGTCCCATGTGGTTTTTGCACTAACGTAGCCTTCGATCATGACCTTTCTAGGCGAACAGATCCAATAAAGCATAGGTGATTTCTACTTTGACAGCCACGAAGGGGATACAGTGTGATGGAGAGACGCCCTTGTTTATTGGCGCCACTCGCTATAGAGATCGTACTGAGAAATGTTAACTGGAATTCGTCACAGTAGATACAACCCAGGCAATCTATATCCGACAATTTCATAAAGCTAGTCAACCACCGATAGGAAACCGGGCCGTCAATGTGTCACAACTTTAGGCAATGACGGTCCAAATAAATCAGAATATTGATGCCAAAAAAACAGTTGATTTGTTCTCTCACGAGGTGTAAACTAGTCCCTGGCTACACGCATTGTTGAAATGCGCGCACATTGTTGCCTGACAAAAGTTGATCATGTCTTCTCCCGTTTTTTACATTCCACGAGTTCTTGCTTTTAGACGCCCATTCAGCTATTTGGTAGCAACGTGAACCTGAACGTGAAAACCTGAATGTGAGAACCTGGACGTGAACCTAAACCCGAACTCGAACCTAAACTGAGGCACCCCAATTACTCGTAAATCCAATCTCCTCGAAGACCACCAGAAGACAACTTGATAATCATATCCTCGGTAAACTCCTCAATTGTGTCGCGGCCATGGCAGAACCACGGTCCCTGGAAACGGTCACCATTGACAGTCATGAGATCTCCATAAAGGGTCTCGTAGCCGAAGTCGATGATGAATTCGCGAGACTCTTGGCAGACAGCACTGCAATACTCAAGGTCAGTACATCGCTGTCCCGCGTGTGATCTTAAGTGTTTTCGGAAGAGTGAAACCCCATCGAATACATAGGTGTAGCCCGACGGCAGTTCTCATGCTCTTTACAACCACTAGAACAATAAGGAAATAGGTCGGGGAAGTACTCACGCCAGAGGGAAGGTCAGGAATTTTGGGGGGTTGAGGATCTCGGGAGCGTAGCAACAGGTCGGAAAACCCCACTGGTCAATACCCTTCTTCTTCCACTTCTTGTCATAGTTGTAGCCAGAGCCATAGCCGTCATTATAGCCATCGTCATCTTCGCCATCTTCGTCACCTTCGTCATCAGTCTGTTCATTAGGACAGATACGCAGGACACGTCCATCGGGCAAGGCGTATTTCCAGATTATGAGACGGATCTCGGCCGGGAGACGCAAGAACTGAGGGAAGTTGAACTCCATCTCAACTCCCTCCTCGTTCTCAACATGGATGTCTCTGTCGAGGTGACCATCTTCTTTAGTTTGACCCTTGTTGGAAGCACACTCATCTTCGACTTGATCCTCTCCCTCAGAGGTCCACTCTTCCTCAACCTGGTTGTCTCTTGCTTGGTCTGCCATGGCTTCTGCAGAGACCCTTACTGGCTGAGTGTCTAGTTATGTGGATGTTTGAAATGGTGAAGCTGTGTGCTTGGATTCTTTGGAGGAAATGCGATCGTGTTGGAGTGAAGGAATTGCTGGGATATGGGAATCAACCAT